CGGCTCTTACGATACCCACGAAATGGATAGTGGTGGTATTACACCGTATTTTTGATGCGTCAATCATATATTGTTATGTCTACATTTCCACTCCGTGTAGTGAAGATGGACACAAGTATCTTTGAATGATAGCTGGTTAACAAAAGCCTTCAATTATTTACTCTAGCACTAGAGATACTGAGTGCTAGTTTAAATAACTGGTCTCCATTGGACCAAAGACCCTGTTCAGTCAGCATCTCGACTCCACACATCCCTGCACACTAACTGGTATGGTTACTGGTACTCGCTCTAACTAAATATTCAGAGGGCCAAGTGCGGGTTTATTTCACATCTACTCGATCGTCACGGTGCAAGCTGCAGCGGTTTGACGCTGCGATTGGCCCGCACTGAAATCTTCACCAATCGCAACGCAAAACGCGCTCGCCGTCCAGGGTTAGTAGATATGAAATAAACTTACACTAGGCCGGACGTGAACGGGAAAAATTTACTAGCGCTGAACATCGAGAGTAATGGCAAAGTGTGACATGTCATTTTCTATCTAGAACTTTACAACCTGCTCTCGCAGCATCGCCACACCCGATGTCTGCCCCAACCATAATGTAAATACCTGTACAATCACATGCATTAATTTGATCACAGACAACAAAATGTAACAATCAAAGGCACTAGTACACTATTCAACATCAAAATGAAGAATAAACATTAAGAGAGGTCGAGGGGTTTTTTAATTTATTAATGTTTTGTACAATTAGATGATTCGATTGATTGGATGGAGTTTCAGGGTATCAAAGAAACATTCTCGATCTATTATTTAACAAATTACAAAAAGAATTTTACCAACTTGAAAGGCTTTTACGAGCTTTATAGTTTATAGAAAATCATTACATATATATGTTTACAAAAATTACAACGAAGCCTGTTTGTTCTATTACATGTGTATAAAAGCTATAGATGTTATTGGATGATACTATTCTATACTCGTAGATTTATATTGATTTCTTCAACTGTGATTTCTTATTGCCTAATTAACAATTGCAAGTTTTGATTTCTCCATAAAAGTTTAAAAAATATACATGGTGTGAAAACTTAAGAGGAACACAATAAAAATCAAACATTAAATAAACTAGAAATTCCATACACTAATTGCTTCGGTGATGCAGAGGTAGCGTATGCGACTACTGTGCTGAGGCCTCGGGTTCGATTCCCGTATCGGACCAAATGTTTGTATGAACAGCAAATATGTGTTTCGGTGTTTGGGTGTTTTCTATGTATAATATGTATGTATTTACAAAAAAGTATATAAGTATTCTATCAGTCAATCTAGCTTTCATAGTACAAGCTCTGCTTAGTTTGAAACTAGATGGCGTTTTGTGTCAGATCTTAAAAAAATTAAATATTATATTATACCACACGTACGGTTGTATTTATAAAGAATGTTGTTACTGTAATAGTACTGCGCAATTTTCTACTTCAAGTCCCGTGAACCCAAACTCATGCAAACTATTCAAGGATTTGGTTAGAGGTAGAAGGGAAGTCTGTTTTATATAAAAAAAACACTACACAATGTGGTGGGTTGAAAGACAAATGATCCCAAATCACACATTCTGACAGGAGAATCACTTATGGAAAGTCATTGTGATAATGTTTTTGAAGTTTTGTAATAATCTGTATAAATGATTTTTCACTCTGAGTTTTATTCCAAGCTCATACCAAGCTCAGCTGGTTTCAATTGGAAAACTGAAAAATATTAAATTACTACTTTCTTCTTTTTCGTCTTTTTAAAAAGACAACTTCCACAATAGGAATATATCCTGATTCGCCGGGACTTTACAAACATTCATGAAAAAGACACAAAGAACACCTAAACTCCGAAAAACAATATGTTGATCACACAAAGTGTTGTATGATGTAGGGATCGAAATAACAACCTCTGGCTTAACAGCCTGGATCCCCAACTACTAGACCAACAGGCTAGTCAAAATACAAACACACAAAGAATATACACAAACACATCTCTTATATTTACACAGACAAAATCAGACCGATGCCAACTTATATATTTACGCTTATGGTATGCGTAATATATTAATTGTTAATGCTAGTAAGTCTAGAGCTCCTCAGATGTGTTGAGATCTAACTGTACGAACTACTCCATCATTTTAATTGAAAAATGTTGACTTTTTATAAAGCATGAGAAGCACTATGCACTCAAACTGTGAACCTCATAGCAACCAGTCATGTTGTGAACTGTAAACGTACGAAAAACAAACATTTTACTTTTCCAATATTTGCTGTGGCATCCCTTTTCAATCTAACCTGTTTCCATTGTAGATTTTTATTGGGTTAAATAAAGTGGGGCGGTAGCAGGCGTGATACGCAAAGGTTAGGGGGTTAGCATCAACCCTTGGCCACTGTTTATATTATACCTATTATATTATTATGATTTATTGCTCAATCGAAGCGCCACCCGGCTGCCGAGCTACTTGGATAATTTCCTCAAAATGTTTCTAAAGTTCATATACATAGAGGAATCTCAACTATGCTTCAACTTTAAAGGAATCAGATGCTTTGATACGACGAAGGTACTAGTAAATAGTTTAAATAAAAATAGCGTGGAATTTATGTGAGGATGGAAACCTAAAATAATATGCTTTGTTGTTGATATCGTGTAATGTAAACCTTTGTAACGTGTTATCTTTTTCATCTCTAGAAATAAACAAAATCATGAACATGGTAATTTTTTTTCATGTCACCCAAATTATTGTTATATACATATATACACACAGGACTATGACCTCGAAGTAAACAGAGGTGTATTAAACGCCAATATTATGCTGATTGGACAGCAATGACAGGGTTGGTAAGGGAGGTCCTGCTGGAAAAAAAAGAAAAAGAAACCTAGTACCGCGAAGTATTGCTAACGCAGTCCCGCGGTTGTAGGTACAAAAGATGAGAGGTTTTTAGTTGATAAAAATCCCACACTACCTAGCTACAACAGTATGATAAGTGTCTTTTTTAAGAGTTCCTTGTCTCAACCACTATAAAAAAAAAATTAGACCCTGTTAAGTATTACGGGGCAAAAGCCTATTGCCTTCACACGGGCATGGGAGAAGAGAAGATACCTGAGAAATTAAGTGTCTAGTATAAAGATGAATATGTAAAAAAGAAGGTAATGTTGTGAAATAATATTACTTTCATGAACCGATTGGGCACTCCTCAATCCATTCATATATCCCACCTCTGTCTAGTGTCATTAGTCTAGTCATTCATATATCCCAGTGTATGTATATATGTTTTGAGAAGGTACGTACAAAGTTAAATTCATCATCATCATCATCAACAGCCTTTAATAGCCCACTGCTGGACATTGGCTTCTTTTTAGAAATGAGGTTTAGGACTACTATACCACGGCCAAACGGTACAGGGTTTGTGTCAAGTTTTCCTTCTCCTCTCAAGTCTTCCTTACTCTTACGACACCCATGAAATGAATAGGGGTGATGACACTCTGTATTCTTAAACCGTCATCTGTTGACCGTCACAGGGATAACAGTTGAAAAGTATCTAAAAGTTATGAGACTACAACCCAAATTGTTCGACAAGTACTTATAATAAAACTCTCTTGAAATCTGAACATAGTAGTAATTACTGTAGACTTTAAATAGAAAATTGTTTTACAGGTGAAATATCCTAGATTTTTTTAATGAAAACCAATCTCACTGGCTACTCGACCAAATTTGCAACTTCTGTCAGTATCAAAGTTTTCCTTAATATCATGTGCCGTATTCTTACACTAACAATGGCAGAATAATAAAAACGCTGTTTGAGAACAACATGAAAACGTAAAAGGAACGTTTACAGTCGTACCTAATGTTAACAGAAAATTCGCGTTCATTCAACATTGCGTCAAAGTCAGGACGCAAACACAGACACAGGAAAGAGTGCATTCAGTGCGATTCACCCGCTTCGTGAGGTCTCCTCTTTGAACATAAGCACCGTTATCTTGTACCTACGTAGTTAAATCAATGTTGATAGCCCTTAAGTCTTTTTAAGTAAGATGTATTTTAGACTGTATGGTGACGAGTTCGACTCGTACGTGACCGGTTTTTTTTAATGATAACTAGTAAATAATATTTATTAATGTAACATCACTGGGTCGTTCTTTCTGCAGCTTACTTGTGTTTATGTTTGAATTGAATTGTCAGGTTCTACGCTCAATGCTAGTATGGATTAATTTCTAAATCAAACAAACCAATAGGTTCCCCTATTGCAATGCAAATGTAAAGTACCTCTATCTTCTCATTGCGGACATACCATAATAGGTAATATTTAAAAAACGACAGTTACTTTTTTTCACAGAAAACATATAACTGAAGTTGGCAACAATTCTTTACAGGTTTTAAATCTGAAAACTGCAGTACGTCAAATGGAACACGCTAATAGAATGCCGTACCGGATACAAATCACAAAACATTCCAATCCCAAAGAGTAATTGAATCCTGTAGGCCTTCATTAGGGATTGGAGGGTTAACAAAAACGAACTTTTACAGAAAGGAGAATGCCGGCGTTCGGACAAAAACCACAAATGACATTTGGTGGTACGGATCGAATAATTACGTACCCGCAGCTTATGCCCAACTTGGCTTTCACACCCCCAACAGTGGCACTCCTTGATAAAACTTCGTCCAACTTCTCACGCCTTGAAATATTACATGTTTTACCAAAATGTAAGTGCTTAACAAACTTTGCTCGAGTGAAAAGATGTCGACATGAGTATCTAAAGACTTGCCACGTGCCACTCACGTACAATCTGATCTTATAGAATAAAGACGAGTTTTATATGTATATTTTACGCAAAACTTTTACGACGAATCCTTTTATACTAGAAGCTTGCATATAGTAGCGAAACAGTTCTCTCGTGAAGATTTATTCAACCGAAATTGTCAACTTTGCATACTACTGAAAGTTGCTCAGGCAACAGCAGTCAGAGGACTAGTTGAGATTCAAAAGAATTCCAATATCAGTGGATGCGGCCAAATCGCGAAGACGAGTATCTGCGGGCGTGGGCTGTGTTGCGCGATACGATACGAACGGAGCGAGGCGTGCTGAACTTCACCACCGGCCACCGCTGAATATGTTAATGCAGGGAACGTCGCGCTCGATGTCTCCGCAATATCGCTACTTTCAATTCTCAACTCGCCCGCCTCATCGTTAACACATTCCTATTGAGTTTTATACCGAAATTGAGCGGCGCGGTTTTATTGCTTTTGTTACACAAATTGAAAAGTGCCTATTTGTGGCTCTGAGATGTTTAATTAAAATAACCGACAATGGGACAAGAACATTCTGAATAATCGTTCTGTTAAATGTTCAAGTTTCTCAAAATTGACGCCATTTATTAGATGCATTAAGTCCTTATTTAAATTTGTAGTGTTTACAATGCGATAAAATCCTTACGGTAAATTGCACTGCCTTTATTTCTAATTGTTCTGTGCTTTGAACACAAGTTTTGTCTATGAATGTTTATAGATGATCAAGGTTCTTGACTTGTCTTAACACTTTGCTATATATGTACAATTTTATATGTTAGAACTATGACACTTTTACGTTTACTCGATGTTTAGATCGAATTCTATAGATCGATCATCGACTTTCTGATTGTAAAGTTATCGTATCTCGTGCATCACAGTAATTCAAGAAACCACAGCAGAAGGACTACGATCGACTCATACCATTTGAGCAAAACAATGCATTAAAAGAACTTACTGTTACATATTTTTATCTAATATTTTTTTGTAAATTCATACTTTTTACACACGGCAGTCTGAACCCAAACTAGACAGAGCTTGTACTATGGTAACCAGACTGCTGATAAACATACCTATATATTTCTAAGTACATACATATTATAGATAAATTACAACCAGATATCACAAAATATTTGTCCTGGGTGGGAATCAACCCACTACCTCCTGCTTCGCAGTCACTAAACACTAGAGCAACAGGCCCGTCAAATATTTATTCGTATTGCGTAGCTACTCTGATGAAGGCTCTTTAATATTTCACGAGCGTTAAGTGCCTTGTAAAAGTTAGGCCCCACCCAACAGGAATAATGAATGCTACGTTTTATATCATTCTACTTAAACACACCTGGAACCCCTATTCATCCCGTGGGTATCGTAAGAGCCGACTCAGGCAGCAAACAAACTATGCATGATAACAGCACTGCAAAGAGAAGGAAAACTTGAAACAAACCCTATACCAACCCGTCTGGCCAGTGTGGCATAGAAAGCCAAAACCTGCTTTTTAAAGGAGAGGCCTCTGTCTAGCAGTGGACTATTAAAGGTTGTCGATGACACCTGGAACCAACCATCATGGCGTAAAATAAGGTCAGTAAAGTTTTATTTTACATGCTAAAACAAACAAGAACATGAACGTCACATGTTTTTTTTATGGAATTGCAGACGAGTAGACGGTAACCTGATGGTAAGTGACTATCGCCGTCCATGGTGGCCCACTCAGTCATTCGTTGAAAAGCTAAGAAAGAACTACTTAACACCGGTTTTCTGTGAAGCCGTGATATAACCTCGGTCGAGCCTTGCCCGTTTGTGCTTAAGCATGGCTCTACCACGATTCTATTGATTGCCTTACATATTATGTTTGTAAAACGTAAAACATATTAACTATTATATTATTATTCTTATATTATTTATCTATTTGGATGCTTTAAGCTATGGCAACGAAACGTAAGATCCGCGTCGCTCGATCTCCACTCGCATGACAATTCACTTTGAAAGGATTGCCTTACTGTGCACTAGATTCACAAACACTCCGTAACGTTGGACGTATGTACGCCTACATACACAGCCTCTTAACTAGCATCATGCAGTACTCTCGGCTTAAAGTAACTTAACTTGCTACTAATTAAATTCAATTACATTCCATTTACGTAGGCTTTCCTAACTAGAATTATGGCTGAAGTTGTGTTTTATCGCTAATAAAGTATTAAAAAAATTATACAAATTTAACAATGATGGCCTTCACAATCGACTGTCGGTTTTTAAAGTATGCTGAGCTTGTTCTGTGGTAATTGGACTGACGAGAAGATTGCTTAAAAAATATGAAAAATTATATATATCATAGATAAATTACACCCAAACATAGAACAAATGATCTTGCTTATTCCATAATTTTATTTTCACGGTGGGAATCGAATCCACGACCTCTGTATTTAGTACTTAGCATCACTAACCACTAGACATCGCTATTTAATTTGTAGAAATGTTGTTGTGCCCTACTTTGCCATATTATGATTCTCCTACCGACACGTATTTTAGTTCTGAAAACATCTTAGAACACCTTCTGGTAAGATGCGTTGTGGTACACCTACACATAGACAGACAAAAAAAACATACTTAATTAATCAATGGGAAGGAGTCCTCAAAAGAGACAGGGACGAAAATACATTTACAAAAAGTCCAATAGAAGAATCATTTAATTTTATCAAATTTAAAATTATGTTTTAGTGCTAACTTTCTAACTAGTCCTTTCTAAGGGAGAGGCCTATGTTCAGCGGTGGATTAATAAAGGACGATAATGACTAATGTTTAAATTATAGCTATATATCTATATATATGTAAATTTTTGGGTTGGTTTCTGTACGCTTCGAAAATTCAAGAAGTTCGGTTTCGTATGACCTCAATTTTGACACAATATATAATCTGCTTTTATGATGGTTTTTATCTACTTTCGCGTCAGTTTAGTTTTTCATTTCTGGTTAATGCAACCATACGGTGCTACTAGCTAGTGATATATAATTATGTTTAAATATATATTACCCAGATTGCACTGCATGTGGTCACAGACCGATAGTGACCACGGCCGGTATGTACTTATATGTATACGTATACCTACAGTGAGCGTGTTAATTCGTGTAGATACAATTATTCATTGCCTTTAAATTGGATTACTTGAATGGTTAATAATGCTGTTACTTACTAAAAGTTTCACACTAAACGTTCATTAACGAAGTTATGTTTAAATGAATTGAACACAATTTAAGATCTAATTTGCGAAATTGCAATGAAAAATTATTTTCTCTTTTAACTGTGCTTTAGTTTTATTGAAACAAAGCTTAACCAAGCATGAGTATTAGACAACTAACACTTTATTATAACTGTTTTTAAAACCGTTTAAGAACTTTACCACGTTACTGGTATTCTTAAAAAAAAAAGTACAAATTGCATTTGTTAACCGATGTTAGTTTGGCTAGGTTTTACATTCGCTAGGTGTGGCTAGTGATTCATGATTATTTGGAACATGGCAGTTACTTAAAATGACAATGTGTCGAAAATAAGTGACGAAGTATAATCCACTTACCATGACAGCGTTGATCTTGAAGTCCATGTGGTTCTTGACCTCGGCAGCGAGCTCCCGAACCAGAAGTAGCCCATCCTTGCGCACCACATCCACGTTATATTCGTGATATTTCTGCACAGACACAAAACAACAATTTTAATAGTTTTAATAGCTTTACGAATTACTATCACAAGAAAAAAATCTTCGAACCGTTACAACGAGTAAAAAAGAAAAAAGTGGGATTTTTATTGAGATATTCTCAGTCAATCTTGACACACAAAAAGTCTTTTTGTAAAATAGCTTAACTACAGAAAACTTTCCAAAATTTGTTTATATATATACACCATACACATTCTATTAATGAGTTTTTTGCATTTCTTGCGGTATTATTTATTATATTTAGATTTCTTGTATTTTTTGGAAGAGGGCGTAGATATCTGCGACACAGTTTTATTAGTACTGCGGAGATCATCGTTTTTAAATTTACTGTGTAAACTTGCTTTTTTTAAATTCAATATATATATATATATATATATATATATATATATTAGGCCCTGTAAGGCCCAGTATATCTCACACATATATAATATAGAATTAGGAATTGGTTGAGTCTGTCCCATGTACATACCGAACAAATGTACATAAAACCACCATACTGGCAGTATGCTTCATGGAAATACAAAACATTATCTTTCCTGAGCAAAATATAAAACATAATAATAGTTAACAGCAAATAGACTAGTGCAAGTAATATCTGTGGAGTACGCGTAATTTAATGCTTTCACGAGCACAGATAAACATCGGCAGGCATGTAGCGTTCGCATAATTTGTGAAAATGACAACAATCGTGTCGCATTCGCGCTACATTACGCGTTGAGTTATTGGTGCCCAACGTGGCTGCGGGGCGAGCGGCGGCGGCGCCGGCAGTACCGAGCGACGAACCCGAGACCTGTCAAATTTAAAAATGGAACGAACACATCCGGAATTTGGCGGATGCTGGCTGCCAAATTATTGTTATTCGGCAGAGGCGCCCGCTTCGTGCTGCCTTGTTATTGAATTTTCGATGGTTTCCATGTTGCCTTTTTTATACTGTCGAGTCTAACCGAGTGGTGACACTATTTTTATAATATTTTGTTAACATTTTCACGACTTTCTGTGCTTACATTCAGTGTATAAATAAGCGTTTATATATGATTTTAATCATAATAAGTTATTAAAAATTATACGACTATTTACAGTAATAGTGTTATTATTAAGAACAGTGAAAGAAAAAATAGTAAAATATTAATATTTGTTTGCATTTGCATCTGTCGTATTTTTTGTATAATAAGCAAACTTTTTCTAAATAACTTGGTACAAAAAAAATGTTTGTTGTAGAGCTTATATTAGAACCTTATTATTTCAATATTGTAAAATGTTAATCAACTACCATAAGAGGTATAGAAGAAGTCATAATAACAAAATACCTGGCAAGTCAAAATTCCCTTTATATAAATACAATCTTATCGTTCATTTCATAGACTGAGCACGGGCAAAATAGATCTTTTAGATAAGCGTAAATGTTTTATGCTAAAGCAGCTGACGCTTCCTCTATAAAGAACGTTTTAAGGGTACCTTCGGCGGAGGTTGGGAAATGGCGTCGAGCCACAGAGAGGACGGACCCTCTGTCCGCGACGTGGCACTCCCCTTCATATTACATTGTCTTCAACGACACCCGGAGAGCCCATTTAATCGATAGCCTACTTCACTTTTCAAAAGGTAAAGATCAAAACGTATGAGACTTTTGTGTAATGGAAATAAGTGCAGCTCTGGTTTACATGCCGAGGTAAACATTGGCTAGTGAAATGTTACATTCCTGCATCAGATCCCCTCTATTGTTGGTGAATGTTCTTCTAAATAAACTGACCTCGTATGTTTCGGATTAATTACGATTATATATATTCCGGTCGCACTAAAAAATGAGATGTGAAACCTTTTAAAGTGATATGATAACATAATTACTTACACAGGGCTATATAATAAAGCTGTGGTCACAAACCGACTCAGGCTGGGTCAGACTGTAATCACGGCCCGTGCAACATCGTCGAAACGTCAGGCAATTTAAAGCAATTAAATAACAACTATAACATGATGATGTTAAAGGTATAAAAAGTATTTATAGAAAGAAAAATGCCTTTTTAAAAGTAATGATCTAAGTCTGGGTATTTAACTTCTTTAGAGATAAAACCTTACTTCTTAATTTATTTCAAAGCAATGTACAGGTTTGTTTTTCCTTACAATGCCTTGTTTCACAGTACATAAACCACGCATTATAAAACAAACTCAAATAAAAAAGTAGTATCTTTTACCTTTATAAATTTTATATCAAAACCTGTTATCGTAAAATCAACGCGGCTTGCGTGTAGTCAGGTAAAAGAGAATTGACCCCAGGGTCAAACCGCAGCCGCGCAGGCCTGTATTATCTATGGGATGCCCTCCGTTAATCGCCCGACCTCGTTTATTATTTTAATGGAATCAATTTCTATTAAAGATGCTGTTAGTATGAGAAACAAAGAAAATAACAATTAGGAATTAAGAAAATAAACAAATTAGGATCGTATGAAATTATGTAGTTTTAAATGTTTATCGTCTTAGAGCTATGCTTCGGCACAGATGAGAAGGCTCGACCGGAGTGGTACACCACATAGAAAATCGTTGTAAAGTAATTCTTATGATGCTTTTTACCCAGTGAGTGTGGTTACCGCAGTCCAAACCAGCCCCCCCCTCCCTCAGATTCAGCAGCAGCACACTTGTAACTCTTGTAACCCGTCTAGTCGTTTGGCCCTTTCTGACATAGAACAAAAAACAACACGTTCTATGGAATAAAATTAATGTTATATAGTAAGTCAGTCATTCGACGATGAAATGAAAATGATATTTTTAGCGACGGGTTAGCTGATGGTAAGTGACTGCTGCTGGACAGTTGCAACTTAAGAGTCATAAGGGCATTTCTGGTCTTTGAGGTGGGAGTGTATGTCGTTTAGACGAAATTGCACTGGCCGTGGTCACCGGCTGACTATCTGACAGTCAGCCTGTGGCCCATATTTTTTTAATAATAATAATTACGAAACATAATTATGTAATACCACACTTATTATTCGGCAGTGTATAAATTTTGTATTCTAGTGTAAGTTCTTAAAAGCTAGTTCGCTAGTGACCGGTCTGTTTTCAAGCTGAGTAGTGATAACGTAAGAACATGGTACTTATCTTTGAACATAACTAACTGAGATTGTAATATAAACTATACAATGGGCTACAAACAAATCCCCAAGCACTAAAATGATGTTTGCTGAAATTGGTTGTCTGTATACCTAGATGTGAGGTAGTTATATTTCATTGGTTTTAATCAGTATGGCTTGGGCATTGAGCGGGCGGCGCTGCGTCGCGGTTGCATAACGTCCCCTCGCCCTGGGATTCGGGACACATTGGCTAACAAGGAACCTAAATTCAATTAAGGCAGTTAATTTAATCCGCTTTGTGTGTCAACACCACCCTCGCGGACATCTGATTAATCCTATATATTTAACTATTTTAATTGATTGCAAATGATAAAATAGTCTTAATGTTTAGTCTATTGTATTGTTTCACAGCACTTGTTTTGTAGAATATTTGGAGTTATGATGAAGGAAAAATTGCATGAGTCATTCGGCATCATTTTACTTTGTCAAGTTTTATTAAGCAAACGTTTTTTTTAGCAGATATTATAGGTATTCCAAAAAATTGTTTGTTGTATGACCTACCGCCCGTAAAGTTAGGTTAGGTTAGTTGCCCCGGCAGCGGCCGGCGAAGCGACAGAAACGAACTATTCCAAGATTTTATACTTAGGTTTTTTTTATTTAATGCTGTGAATTTGGACTTTGAACGATATATTTGACTAAATATAATACGTGGTAAAATGAAACATGACTAACTAACTAACTAATTATTTGTTATACAATAACTTTTTAAAAATGAGTTTTTCCAAATGAAAATTTAGTTTGTGATGAGATATTTTGGGAAAAGTTTTTTGCCCATACATTAATAATTCGTAATATCCGTATGCTGCTTTGTTAAGCCATGGCTAAAATAACCGATTTGCATATTAAAAACGCACTCGAATCACAATAAAAAGTAATTTAGACAGTATTACGAGTATAATATGATGTTTAGTCCTGTGGTTTAGTTTATTTGATTTTGACGTATTACTTATCTTTGGTTTCGGCTAGGTGATACGAGTTTTCACATGACAAAGAAAGGTCTAACCCACAACCAAAATATCATTAGACCATTACTGGTTTATTTTATACTTATTGATGTTATTAATAAGTAAAAAACTCTACTTATTTTTAATAAGATTAACAGATGGAAAGAACTGGTAAAGGTGGCTCCCCTTAGATGATTCGTCGTTGCTGCCGTTCGTCTATGAGCTTATTATAGACATCGGACTGCTGTTAAAGCAATCTTGTAATTTTATCGCGATCTCATGCGCCCAAAAATCGCATTCCATATTTTATAGTGTTGAACAGTACATTGCTGCACGTCTTTGCACGTCGAGGTCGACCGCCAACACCTGTGAAGCCTCAGTGCTAACCCTATTGCCCTAGTGCCCTATCAGACCACAGGCCAATATATTTATATCGACTTATTTTAACTGCCTACTTAAGATTGCTAGAACTATTTGCTTATACTTGATTGATTTACCTATTTCTTGATACTAATAAAAAACATGTTAAATATACAACATTTTTGTTTAACTGTGTTTGAAATTTTGCCACGTATTCGACAAGACGCAAAGCCAAGCCAGGATCAATCGATGTGCCACACCCCTGTTTCCAAAAATACTAGTTTATAAGTGGTTTGTTGCAAAATTTAGCTTCACACCTTTTAAACCTACACTTTTCTAATGACCTCTTTCTCTCTCGTCATGTATTTAAGTACATAAAATTAAAATATAAGCCGCCACATTCTCGCGAATTAAAGTTTGTAAATAAATGATGATGATGATGTGATTTCAATGTGAATTGATTTTAAGAAACGGAAAATTATTTAGTTATGAACGTGAGCATACATTACACATTCGGAACTGCACAATCGCAATCGTGCAAAGTACTTCG